CTCGGACTGGTTTCAGCTCCGTCGGCCAGGTCCCGGGTTGACCGTCGGCCCGAGTTGGAAAACATTGATCTGAATAGATTTTGCTTGCGGAAAGATTTTGTTTTATTAAATTGATGATTAGAATAAGTGTATGATTTAATATGGGAGCATATTTTTAGAAGCTCTAATTTGTTGATTGGTTTAATCTAGGGTACATTTTCAAAATTTTAATTGAGGTGGATTTTTTATTTTTATTTTTTTTCTAACTTATTAATTCCACAAATGAGTCATGTCATCGCTACATAAGTTTTCAGTCACGAAACTTCGTCACTCAACAAACTGAAAATCCAATGTGGATATAAGCAGCCGGACACACTGCATTTTTTGAATCTCCGACGAAAATTAAGTTCGTTTTGCAAAAGTAAGTCAAAGTCAGGATTATATTGCAATTATCCAAAAGTTTGGATTAAATTGTCAAACGTTAAATGATAAAGGTTTAAATAGCAATTAACCCTTGTTCTTATATCAAAACTAACATAAATTCTTGAAATGGTCTAACCGTTAGACGGTTGACCCGTCATATATATTTTTTTTTCATCAATGCATGCTTGTATTATGAAATATCATAATTTTGTTTACGTTGTTTTTTAAGAGTATAGCATTTTAGTTAAAAAGTGCATATATCTATTGAAAAAGTATAGTTATCTAAATTGTCAAGTGTGCTTTTAATCCCAAATGCCAGAATATGAAAAAGTAAAAGTGTCATTGAAATGTCATGTGTTTGTAGTGTTGTAGACGAGCCGAGCCGAGCCCGAATACTTGATACTCGCACTCGGCTCGAGTTTTTTTCGAGCTAGGCTCGAGCTCGCTCGAAAGGTTTACCGAGCTGAATGTAAAGCTCGGCTTGGCTTGTTATTTGTACATTTGAGCTCGAGCTCGAGTTCGAGCTCGGCTCGTTTGATGAGAAAATACTCGTTATGAGCTCGGCTCGAGCTCGAAATCCTGTAAATTATTTTTTTGTTCTTTCATTACAATTACAAATAGACAAAAACAACAACTCAAATCATAAATCCAAAATAGCTTAACATA